GGAGCGCGGAAGAATTCCGGCTTATTTTCTCTGAATGCGGACCTGAAAAGCTATAAAAAAGGCTCATTTTCGCCATTTTCATGCGCGTTAAAGCACAAATATAGGCTCCTCGAGGCAAAAAGGCCCCGAAAACGTGAAAAACTGGAAATCGAAATTCTAACGGGACATTGCCTTTAAGAAACATGGAATACTTACGGTCCATGGTCGTATCCTTTTGTTTCAAAGAGGGGGCGGATGTAGCCACTATCGTAGCTGCGCGGGCGATTACGCTCCATGTCATCTACAGTAGTGCGAAAAACTTCGATGTATCTAAAAACAGAGGCTTAGCAGCTGCAAATTATTCAGATATATGGATGAGATGAGAAGAGAATGACAAATGCCAAGAAGTAGATCGAGAAGAAGATTGAGAAAGAAGATGAGTAGATGGATGATGTACATGAGAATCAATTCTCAAAAGGATACCAAAACATGCAAGTGACGCAAAATTCAACAAACTGAGCATAAATCTAGAGCCCACTGCTCCCACCTGCTTCCCATATGTTGCTTGTTGAAATCGAGGGCTTTCGAGGCTTCATCTTTGCTGGCGAGACGCACGAAAGCTTCCCCGCTAGGCCGCCCTCCCGTACGCCCGAATACCACCTCTTCACAGTTTAGCCCTGATACACAACCACCACTTAACTTTGACAAATTACCCTCGAATTTTAAGCAATAACGTGATATCGATATATACCATATATATGCAAAATAATCTGCAAAAACTTAAGCTTTACTTGAATACTGAGTTTTCGAAAACAGCCAAAAATTGGGTGCTAGTGTTGAGGAACCGTTCATAAGACATAACCATGTCCCGATACCCGCAACACCGATTCCCTTTTAGAGAAAATTTGCTCAAATTTGACAAGACTGTACCAAGAGTTTCGCGTACCTTTGAAGAAATTCTTCACATCCTCAGTTGTGGCCGAAAATGGTAGACCTCGAAGACGAATCACTTTGCCTTCATCTGTGACAAGGCCAGCTCGCTTGAGGTTCGTGAGTTCGTCAATTGATACTGTGAAAACTGCAAATGTTCGAATTAGTATGCTCATGTCATCTAGCATATAAGAGCAGCCATTTTGTGAGAAAACAGACATGTAAGCCTAAATGCTCATAGTGGTAGCCATTTATAAAAGCAGCGACTTGAAATTATTTTTTACATAGTGTGGGATAAGCAATGCCAATACAAGCATTCGGAAACTCGTTTTTCGGTATTGAACACCAACATGACCTTAGATTCTGACACTATGTGGAAGAACTACACAAATGGATCTGTTTGGCGACTAGTTTAGTAAAACTACCACGCAGCCCGTAAAACATTATCGCGAGAATTCTATATCCCACAGCTACGTCGCACTT